AATGAACATGTAGTCTCCATGGTCAGACATGTTCACTGTATGTACGTTGTGCCCATGACCAACAGACATGCACACCCACGAGTCCCCTACCCTCAAACTGTGCTTTTCTCACCGGTAGGTACATGCACATGTGTATACTCCAAAGGAAAAGACACTTTTTCACAGATCATGCCAAAGCCTGTAGGGGCTAGTATGTAGGGGCTGAGAGAGGACCAGGACTCCTGGGCCAAGGAAGGATAAACTTACTGTAACAGGAAAGCATGTACATGTATGAGGGCCTGCATGGGGGTGTAGTGATTACGAATTACGCAAATTTTCGTTAAAGTTTCAGAGCTGATTACGACTTTACGCTTTGCTGGTAATGTACTATTATGAATTACATTTTTGGGGAGGCTGCCTACAGATTATGGAGACTAAAAAGGGTTGATTACGCCTTACAATAAAGGGCATGCAGGCCCTCATGTGTATGTCATCTCTTGGACCATCCATCTAAGGAAAAACGATTAGTCCTGCCAGTATCAGTGTCACCTTCCTCCAATCCTGTTCATAACATTGAATACTCATTGCGCATCAAAGCTTTCTGGAACTGCACATAACAAAAATACATGTAATGTGAAGAGTGAAAACTTTGCACAAGGTGGCTGGCTACTAGCTTAATAATAATAGCTAGCAAAGCTTCTGTAACATCCAAACTGTGATGTACACAATTGTGACCTGAAGGTCTGACCTCTGGCTCCCCTTGTCTTAGTGAGGGGTGACCACGAGGTCAACCTCAGCAACTCAGGCAGAGGAGGCAAGGCAGATGTGTTTTCAGGGATAAGGTTACATCTTGTTTGATCCCATATTTGGGTCTTTGAGAATCCAGTTCAAATCATCCTTACTAATTTATGATGTCAAACCTGGAACCGAAATGTACCAAGTCTTACAAGTTACAAATCTACTTTGACAAAAGGACAACAAAGTTAACCAAACTATTTATTTGAGATCCATATAACAAGAGAAGTCAGCACCAAAACCAGAGAAGTGCATGGAAACTACTGCTCTCAGTGAGATTAAAGATATTGCTCTCAGTGAAAAGAGTTTGGTCCCAATCATAATCATTTAGAAGTGGCAAGTGTTCAAAACTGTTGAGTTCAAAAGGTCTGAGTCAAGCCCAGGTACTGTAATTGCCATGGGAGTTGATGAAGCCTGGACATGAGCACCACACAACTCTAAATCAGATGGCCTGGGACATGTGCACTGAAATTTGGGGTTAAGATGTCCTAAAAAGAAAAGCTGACAGAGATTCATGAACTTAAGATTCACAGAAAGAGACGCACAAGGCAAAGAAACAGACTACATGGAGTGTACTCTGATGATAAAAACAAGTGTCCATAGGCAGCCGTGAAGTTGTATATTTTGCAGATTAAGAACAATATAGTGTTAATGTAAACAGTGTGTGATCACACCGAAAAACCGTCTATCCACAATACTCTGCCAGCTGGAGGTATACCTCCTTCACGAAGTAACAAACTGTGAGATGTGGCAATTTTTGGGCCTTCAACTTTTTACCCCACCCATTACATTGTAGATTCTTATGACTCAAGCAGGCAGACATTCTAGCAAAGGGGACAGGCTTGAAATGCTTGCATTATACTAGATAGTATAATGATATACTGTTGTCAACTTCATTCCACTCCCCCCCCCACACACAGACACACCTGGGGCGACTGTGCATACATGTATTTGGCAGAACAAGTAGGAGAGTAGCCTATCCCTATGTAACCCAAGCTGGGGGGGGGGCTCCCTACATAGTCCGCCACCGGCCGGCAAAAGCGATTTAATCAGGCTAGTAGGAGAGATAATGTCTTTTTTCATGACAGAAACGTAGTCCTTGATAGCAGGCAAAAACATTAATATCCTTTCTCGCAATGTCAATTGTAGTTGCAGTGACTGTTAAATGCATCTGGGACCAGACATCATTTAGAACCTTGAGTAGGTTGGAACATTGTGCACAGAAAGCTTATAGAAAATTTTCTTGAGATTACTTTAGAAGGGGTCTTAGAAGTACATGTAGTCGTAGACTTTCTGCACTGTGACTACTGACACCTTCATAACAGCAAACAATTCTTGCATAAAAAATTCCAACATTTAGTTTTGCTACGTATCTTCCCCTGCAGAACAGATTCTTATGAAACTGGCACAGTGTATAAAGGTCAGGACATAAAACATGAAAAAAGATACTCCTGACCCCTGGGTGACCAGTCAATGGAATGTCAAATTTCCCTTGTGGTTCAATGCAACTGATACAGCTGGTTACAAGCCTGGGAATGGACAAAGCTAAAAAAGGCTGGTTACAGGACCTGGTCTTATACTTGCCAGCATACATGTAGCTCAAACAAGACATCCTAGTCTGGGATGTGTGTAGCATATCATCATATTGTGGAGAATTTTTAACTCAATATTTTTAAAGAAATCTCTTACCAAATGGAAATATATGGGGTACCCTAACATTAGTAACAACTGGCAAAGAAATGATTTTGATAATCAACCTACAGGTAAAATCAAATTCATTTTCTCATCCATGTACTGTAGATGTGTATACTGTAACCTGATTGAACCTGATTAATTTTCAGCCCCCCTAAACAGGCTCCAGACAAAAGGTTGGGTTACAACTTACACAGGCAGAAAGTTGTTCTCCTGAGACTAGTCTCCTCTATAGGCTAGATAAATAAGCTATGGAAAACATGTGGTAGTGATTACAGTTTGGTGGTCAGGAGGGGCTCTCTGGGCCCTTACTGTGAAGGCTTAGATTAAGAGCCCAGAATTTGTTTGGATAAGTGTGGAGGTGGGGCAAATCAAATTGTTAAACAAACCCAGTAGCAACCCCAGGCTACCTTGCTGACAAGTTATTCCAAGGGTAAGTTGTCCACTGTTTGAACACAAAAATACTGGGTTTCAAAGTAATATTACTGCTAAGATCATGTCCAAGCTCTTCCAAGGCTATAAAGTGACAAATCAGTTGTAGATACATTGTATTTTTAAAAACAGTTTTCTATAAGGTAAATATTAGAAGTTGCTAGGCCTAAATCAAAAGGTAAGTAGCAAAGTATGGTGCAAAGCTATCTCAATGCCAATGGAATTGGGTTGTGATGAAGTGGAACAAAAGCCAATAATATGCATTTCCAACAATTTTTACCCAAAATAAGCTAGTACATTGTAGTAACATCTGTAGGGACAAATGATACATTTTGTGGGACAATTTCTAAGTATTGTATGAAATCTTTGTAAAAATTTAGATTTCTGCGCAGAAATCTGTGCAGAATTCTGCAGAATTCTGCAGAAATCTTCGCCCTGTGTGTCAATGGAATTTCCCTTATGGTTCATTCAACTGATACTGCTGGTTACTAGCCAGAGCCATTTGCCTTTGTAGCTTCCATCTGCTCCCCACACTCTATGGGTAGCATATAATGGGGAGTAGACGAAAGCTAAAAAGGCTGACACTTAGGCTAGCTGGTTACAGGATCTGGTCTTATGCTTGCCTGTATACACAATGTTGCTCAAACGAGCTCAAACAAGCTGTCTGTTACATTGTATGTCCTAGTCTGTAATGTGTAGCTCATCATTACTTTTTGGAGAATTGTTTTACTTCATAAATCATTTTGAAGATCACAATTTTTTTCAAGAAATGAAAGGAAAAGAACAGCATACAGTGCAAAGCTATCCCCATGCCAAATGGCAGGGCACTGGGCAAAAGCCAATGCATTTCCGACAAGTTATGCCCAAAATACACATAACCTGATAGTAGCATTTGTAGGGGAGTAAATCTACCACCTTATCACCATAATGATACAAGTTGTAGGACAGTATTGTACGAAATCTTTAAAAAAGCAGATTTCTGCGCAGAATTCTGCGCAGATTTCTGCACCCAGCGCAGATTTCTGTGCAGAAATCTGCGCGGGGTGCAGAATTCTGCGCAGAATTCTGCAGAAATCTGCAGAAATAACATGATCCCTAGGGAACTATCACTGTTATCTACATAGTTGTTGTCATCTTCTACATCACCATGTGGAATGTCAATTGTCCAGGACAAACTATACTTGAAAAGTGAGAGGTAGTCCGGAATTAGAGTGTCTGTCCGGAATTATAGTGTCGCCTGTTGAACAAGATTATCAAATATCCGTTTCCTCTGTGTACATCAGTCACTGCTGAGGTTATAGAGGATAAACAAAGGCATCTCTCTCTTGGCTTAGACTTGTACAAGTTCTACTGGAAAATGTTACTGTTGTTGGGAAGGGATCGGTACTAAGCTGTGGTCGACTGTTTATAGTACTTATGTTTGACAAAGAAGGGAAATTTTCCCAAGGATAGCTTCAGTTTAAACTACAGCTGGATTAAGACACAATTTCCCTGTTTTTCAAGGGATCTTTGTAGACATTTTCAAGGATAAGAAACAAGACTTGACTCTGCTTATAAGTGTAATTGACTGTACTTTATACTTGTTGGAAAGAAAAGGGTATTTCTCTGACTAAGAAAAGCTTTAGTGTAAGCTAGAACTGGATCGAGACACATTTTAATTCTTCACCACATACATTGTGGACATTGTCAAGACTAAGCAAGACTTCTAGATTGTGTAGTAATTTTTATCATTGTACTTGAAAAGAAAAGGAGATTTTTGAGAGAATAGCCTCAGTGTAAGTGTACATTGTTAGGACTAAGAAACAATTCTGGAAAGCACAATCCACTGAACAGGAACAGGAAAGTAGGATTATTTTCCCAGAGAAGAACTTTTGCGCAGACATTGTTGAAATTCAAGTGTAGGACAGTCAGTTTAAGCTAGAGCTTCCTTAGCCTACTGTGTGGAGAAGACTAAGAATTCTGGAAGGTGTGATATACTGGAAAAGCAAAGTTGGGAAGGACTTTGTGCAAGCGTTCTGCGCAGACGTTGTTGAAGTTTAATAGCGGAACAGTCAGGAATGTGATGGGTCACTGTGCAACCATTCTGGTTCCCATGGCAACAGAGGAGGCCAACAGGGGAGAGTTTCCCGTCGCCAAGGTCGGGGTGAAACGGAACCCTCAAGGTCAGGACCAGCAGCTGGCCCTGCAGGCAGCACGGCTGGAGTCCATGGTGAGTTTTCTGTTTGTTTGTTTGTTTGTTTATTTATTAGGAATAGCAATGATTGACTGTTAGGTCAGATCTCAAGATTGTATGTGTCTTTCAATTCTAAAAATATTGTATTTTTAATAAATATGTAACTTGTTATTTGATTGAAACTGGGGTATCTGTATCGGTATAGCGGTAACAAACCAGCTATGGTATATAGATTATTGTGGTAACAATGGTCTCACTCATATGTATGTTAAAAAAAAATGATGTTTGTTTATATTTGATGACAGCAATTATTATACCTATTAGGTGACCTTTCAGTTCCAAAAATCTTGTGCTTGAAAGATCTATTCATTGAAAAATAAGTGAGAATAGTATTTTGGTGGATGTGGTGGACTTTATAAGAAGTGTAAAATGTTTCCTGTCTGTACAGAGGCCGAGAAGACAAAAGCTGGTTCGGACAGCTTACGGAGACTGGAGGGACGGCCCAGAGACGGAGGGACTCACCATAGAGGTACGGACATCTCTCAGCTTCTCACTACATGGAAACAATGCAAGAGTTTATCCTCAATTACATTTCATTTCAAATCATTTCTGTTGCATCAAATTTGTCACAATCATTTTATGCACACCACTTTATCTACTGTTAAGGATTTAGGACTGTTTTTTTTAATGTACCCAGTGTACCACTGTTATAAACATGACATTGTAAATAAATATTTTATTTTACTACTCAGCTTAATGTCGATGATTTAAGAAGGTTTTTTTAATGACAGTGACGGCTTTAGGGTAACCTGAGGAATTATAACATTTGACGTTATACAATTATCATGTAATGTTATACAAAATCACGCCTTTTCAGTGTCAAATGATGTGACATTTCACTACGCTAAGGCTTCTAGTAAGTTTTAACCAATGTTAAGGGCCAGTTTTACTCTGTGCCTTATTTCTGACTTGCATGTTTCCCCTCCAGCACGTGACCTCAGATGAACTGGAGAAACCAGATGGAGAGGTGCCCCAGATCAGGTCAGAGGGCAAATATCTTCCCATCATCTTAGATTGAAAAGTTACTACCCAGTACTGTTAGGTAAAGATTTAATGCCTTACGTTGTATGTACCAGTCTAAGTACTGAATGAAATAACAAGCCTTTTTTTCCAGTAACTTATTTATTCTCTTTCCCCCCTGTTTTAGACCCAGCAGGCCCAGAGGACCCAGGGCTAACTTGAACAGGTGTGTTCTCTTTTGTTCTTTTCAGTATGCTAATGCTGTCCTTAGTGCTGAACTGCCATCCCTTGCTGTTATAACCTTTCATTTTTGCCATTTAACAACACCTATGATTGAGTAGACAGCAAATTAAATACAAGACTTAGCAAACAGTTCTTGTATATGATGTATTTTAGACAGTGTACTTTTTGTCTTTGTTGTTATTGTTATAACAGCCTGTGTCTCTTCCCCACAGTTTCTCCTACGACCCGTTTAAGCTGGTCCCGTGTAAGAGGTTCAGTGAGGAATCTCCGGTGAGTTTCTGCCATAATAACTTTTCTTAGGATTAGCAACATTCTAATAGAGTAAGGATTGCTTTGTATGCTGTATAAAATTTTTACTTGGTTTACTAATACAGACTGAGATACATGTATGTTTCCCTGTTCCCTCCAGGCTCCATTCTCTGTGAAGATCCATGCCACAGCCCTGGTCACTATTGACATGGTAAGTCTATAGTAAAGTGTGAAGTGGCCATGTCTCTGGATCAAGAGGTTGGGAGTTCTAATCCCGGCTGTTGTTGCTCACCTGACATGGTCACATGCACGCTACTGCAGAGGGTTGCGGTCCTTTCGATGGGACCTTAAACTGTGTTCAACCGTTCACTGTGCTTGTCAAAAAGACCTAGGTGAATTTCTCTGGTACAGTGAACCTGTAAATACATGTAGTGTCTGTCTTCTCTGTCATGACCAGTAGAAGAATAGCTCTTTAGTGATCCACTGTGTTTTGTACTTGTTAAAAAGAGGTTGGGGAATTTCCCTGTCACATTGAATGTACTACATAATGTCTGTCTTCTCTGTCACAACCAGTGGAAGAGTACATTGTAGCTCTTCAGTGAGCTAAAACTGGATTGAGATCACGTTTTTTCTCCAATGATAATTATATGAAAGGAGAAAAAAGTCATGTATCAATATTCCCTTTTTTCCCCAGCATGCCCACATCTCCACAGCTGAAGTGATTGGTTTGTTGGGAGGAGTGTTTCACAGGGACCCGGGAGCTCTGGAGGTAGGGGGGAGGTTTTATAATTCAGAATGTTAAGAGTTGTCCTTAGTGTTGAACTGCCATCCCTTAGTGTTATATCCTTTATTTTATCCTTTAAGCACAAGTGAACAAAGTATTGGAGACTGTAGTTGTGTGGGGGTTTGTTGTTACATTTCAGCTTGTTAGAGCTGTCCTTAGTGCTGAAATGCCATCCCTTTCCTTTATGTTCTTCTGGTACAAGTGAATAAAGTATTAATCACTGTAGTTGTACAAGGAAGGGGGTCTCTTTAGGTGTGTGGGTTTGTTGTAACATTTCAGCATATTAGAACTGTCCCTAGTGCTGAAATGCCATTCCCGACTGTTATAAGCTTTCCTTTCAGTCATTTAACTACAGTACTGGAATGATTAAGTAGAGAGAAAATTTTTCAAATATTTTGCTTGTGCATGGCATATGTTTAGGTGTCTTTTGTATCCATGGTTAATGCCTGAATAATGGTGATCCCATGTATTTTAGGTGGCCTCTGCAGAGCCCTGTAACAGCCTGAGTACAGGCATGCAGTGTGAGATGGACCCAGGTATGATTTCACATTTCTTATTCTAAACTTTGCTTATAAAGCCATCTATTGATGTATTTTAGATGACAAAAACTTGTATAGGCACTGTGTTGTATGAGGCTTTTATACATATGTATTAAGCATTTTGCTTTTTGCCCAATCCTCTTTAAACAAATGTGAATGAAAAATCATTTAAAAACTTCTTGATAACATCTACGGGTAGCTCTTTTTGATGAAACGTGAAACATAGAGGTGTGTGTGTGATCTTGTTCCCAGTGTCTCAGACGCAGGCGAGCGAGTCTCTGTCCCAGGCTGGGTACTCCGTGGTTGGCTGGTACCACTCCCACCCGACCTTTGCCCCCAACCCTTCTGTCAGGGACATCGAGACACAGACCAAGTTCCAGGTACTGTTGATAGTACAATCATGTAGTAATAAATGTTGTAGAGTTTCAGCTTTGTTCCCACACAAGAAAGGGAACTCGCCTGTCTGTCTTTCAGTAAAGAAATGGAAACTGAAATGGTATGGCTGTGTGTCAGGGACATCGAGACACAGACCAAGTTCCAGGTACTGTTATATTTACTGTAATAATGTAACAGTTGTATCTGTATTGGTATAACCACCCTTCAGCAAAACACACCAGCTTCATAGGCACGCGGCGCGGCGGAAGCTGGCTACATTTCCCCAAATGTCCTGTTACACCAAACCTTTAACATTAAACATCTGGCACATTTAATTGCAGGAGTTGTTTAAAGCTTTCTAGTGATGATGCCCCAACTGTTCTTAGTGGCAACGAGTTCCACTCTACGAATAGTTCTTGGAGTTTTTTCCTTAGTATTCAAATGTTGAAGTTTCTTTCAAGACAACATACTTAGAGAACATCCAACTTCCTAATATCTTAAATGTTGATCATCAGTTTAGTTTAAGATTCGGTTACTTCTTAAGACTGCTATCCCAAACCGCATAATGTAATATTGCAGCAGTGACATGTAGCTGCAGCAGTATCAGTCAAAACCAGTCATTGGTGCCCTGAATAAGTTGACAAATATTCACCGAAATGTTGGATGTAAAAACTCACTAAATATGATATTCACTTCCTGAAACTGTGTGAACCAAGGTACAGACCGTTTTCATTAGGGTCTTTCATGATTTGAATTTGTAACATCAAAATATGTCTAACTTCTCATATATTGTTGCATAACAAGAAATTGTAATATACATATTTGCATTTTTGTAGTAAAGTGATTAGAAGCAAATTTTTAATTACCAAGAGTTGACAATTTGAACTGTTTTTCCTCCCCCTGTCTAGGAATGGTTTGCCCAGGGAGGGTCCCCCTTTATTGGCATTATAGTGAACCCCTATAGCAGCTCTCGGATCTCTCCCCTGTCCAGAGTCACGTGTCTCACCATCAGCTCAGAGTGGGAACACATCCGCAAATACAGTAAGTACCATCTGCAAAAAAAAACGCAAAAACCATCCGCAAATACAGTAAGTCTGTCACCATAGTAACTGGTGCTGTAGCAAACACCCTGTGTTGTTGGGTTACATAATGTAGCAGAACAGTTGGAAAGACCACTCACCATATATTATACCGGGTATATGAGTGTTTTTGAGTAGGAATAAACCATCCGCAAATACAGTAAGTACCATCCGCAAATACAGTAAGTCTGTCACCATAGTAACTGGTGCTGTAGCAAACACCCTGTGGTGTTGGGTTACATGATATAGCAGAACAGAGTTGGAGAGACCACTCACCATATATATGGATGTGTTTGAGTAAGAATAAACCGTACAGTAGATTGTTGGGCTTGACCATTGTAGGTTAACATTCAGCATTAATTGCAAATGTTACATTTTTAGTTTTTCCTGTTTCTGTTTCAGATGTCCCGTTCCAGTTTGACTTTGTAGTGGACAGTGCAGCCGTCAGACCACAGGAGGTGATCGACAAGGCCAGGAGACTGGCAGAACTGCACGGGAACTCTCCTCAGTAAGTTTGTTATAACACACACACACAGACAGACAGACAGACATACACACACACACACACACACACACAGACAGACAGACAGACACAAACACACACACACACACACACAGACAGACAGACAGACAACACACACACACACACACACACACACACAGACAGACAGACAGACACAAACACACACACAAGCACCATCCCCCCACACACTCACAGACACTGGCAGAACTTCATGGGAGCTCTTCACAGTCAGTCAACATCAAATTATAAAACACACCCTCACAAACATGCATATTCACACACAAACACTTCTTACAATCACTACAGCAGGGGGCTAGTCCACTGGTAGTGGTGTGTGTTTAACATCCATACTCAGCTGCATCCTGCAAGTGCTAAGCAGAAAATATGATAAAGCAGCATGTACCATGACACAAGTCTTTGGTATGTCCTCTCAAAAAACCAACACGAAAGTCTTGACTTATTAGGCTGTAGGCACCAATGGCTACAAGGTAGGGAGTCAAACAAAGTTTAGCAGTTAACTTTTACTTCTTTCATGGACATTTATTCTTTTATTTCTAGGGAGTAAAGCTGCTGAACAGATATGCAGGGCACACGGACACCACTTACATGGATAAGGTATGTACATTTGTGTTCCGTGGCACCTCTCAGTGAGGGAGAGGAGGACAAGAAATGGGGGGTTCAAATCCCAAACCTGTTGTTGCTCTCCCAATGTGCCTTTAAGCCTTGGTCCGCTGTTCATTGTACTGGACAATATAATGGTTGAAAAAGGCCATTGTTATGATAATAATGTACAATGAACCTGTACATACTGTACTGTCTCAACTTGTCAAAGTGTAGCTCTTCTGTCTTACTAGTAGCTAAACTGGATAGAGATCATTCAATAGATAGACATTCAGGCAATGAGATGAAGGCAACAGATACTCATTGACAAGCAACTGGATAGATTTTGAAATGGTCAGACGTTTTAGATAACATTCACTACCTTAGATCTGCAAGTTACTTTAAGAGATCACTTTCCCTCTCTGTTCCTTACAGATGCTGTACTCCCTGAGCGGCCACCTGTGTCGAGGGAACGCAGACAGCGAGGAGGAAGGAAACAGTGAAAGTCTCTCGCTCCTTACCGACATCCGAGACATCTTCGCCAACTCCTGGACATCCTCACTAGGTACAACTCCCAGGTCCTCCATGGCTAGCTTGTAACCATGGCTACATGTATTTCTGACAAATATTTATAACCAAAAACACACAACAAGAAGTCAGCTTAACTCTGGGGAGCTTTGAGACGCACTCTGTCTCTTCAGACACGACATCAGACACTTTTGGATTCCTTCTTTTATTACACTTAAGATAAATTTCATCTGAAAGATAACAAACTTGTTTGGATACCGATACAGGTGTGAGCCTGTACATATACGTAGTATATATCTGTACGAAATTTGTTTACTAGAAAGTTACATGTAGGTACTCAGCTCTTCATAACTGTTTGTTTGTTTATTTATTCCTGCCCAAATCTGGGCAAGTTGTGGAAGAATAATCCATCCTCAGGTGTTAAATGTACCTTGTTTGAAGCTGGTGTGTTACGCCAAAAGGCGGTTATACCGGCTAAAAAGGCATAGAAGCTGGTGTGTTACGCCGAAGGGCGGATATACTGGCTACACAGATACAGAAGCTGGTGTGTTACGCTGAAAGGCGGTTATACCGGCTATACAGATACAGAAGCTGGTGTGTTATGCCGAAGGGCGGTTATACCGGCTATACAGATACAGAAGCTGGTGTGTTATGCCGAAGGGCGGTTATACCGGCTATACAGATACAGAAGCTGGTGTGTTTCGCCAAAAGGCGGTTATACCGGCTATATAGATACAGATTGTTCTACATATTCATGTTTTATGAAATCTACTGTGACTTTGATATTACAAAGTCTGACAAGTCAAGTTGATATTCAACTGTGCCATTGTACATAGAAAATAGTGTACTTTGTAAACATAATTGGATATATTAATTTATCTGAACCGATGTATGTTCAACTTGTTTGTACTTGTTTGTTGTATTTTGTTGTAGTAGACAGAAGTATTGTATGTATTTATTTTGTTTTAATGTTGGTTGTATGGATTGTAAACTATTTGGTATCAAAGAAACTGTTTTTGTTTTGTTTTTCACTTTGTGGCCAAAGTAATGAGACAACTTGTGTAAAACAGTTTTAGTCTTGACAAGTTTGGATTTGCGGGTAGGGGGAAAGGAAAATAATTCCAGCTGTCGGATTCAGAATAAGAATTTTGAGAGAAAAACTTCTCGTAAGTCTGGTTATGTATAGTTAGATGTCGAAGTATTTTCTGTATATATTGTACATGTATTTGAATCTCTCTCTATATATATAACTGTTATATATTGTTGTTTCAACTGTACTGAAATGTAACGCACATATGTGTATGTACACTTCTCTTTCTATGGTTAGAACATTATAGCGATATATCTGTATTGCACATATCTGATTGCACATGGTTTTAAAGCGCCCCCGATGGGCAAAAATATAATTGCAGGAAAACCTGACATGTTTCGCAATATTTGTCTGTTCGTTACATAATTTTGAGAAGTTAAATCAGCTGTATTAAAAGCAGAGAAAAGCAGGCATTGTGTGTGGTTGTGCGTATACTATTTGTTGCTTATTCAATGCACAAGATTTAAGTTATGAATGCATCAAAGAATACTTTTCCTGAGGTCTTGTTTCATATCATTAAAATGATAAAAGTATAGTAATATGTACTCTCCAAGCAGAGGTTTGGGTTTGGGGTTATTTTTGGCGTGTTTTTAGGCCATTTTATCGGTGTTTCTCTTTTGCAAAAGAGAAACCCCAATAAAAAAAGTCTAAAAACACGCCCAAAATAACCCCAAACCTCTGCTTGGAGAGTAAGTAATATGTAATGAGCCATGCAATGGACTAATGTGTGAATAACGTTCCAACAGCGGTTTAACACCCGTCTTCGTAAAGCGCCGCCCAGTGGCGGGCGAAGGTACTGCAGTCACTGGCCTACACCTCCCACCGTGACAATCCGACTGCACCTGACCGTGACACGGTCTCAATTTAGCGCCGCCCAGTGGCGAGTTAAGGTACTGCAGCCTCGCCCTGCTACAGGCTACTATGTCGTGAAAGAAGCCCGCATAAGTGCAGTTTGGCGTTTAGCAGGGCAGGATAAGCCCTTAAAAGTCTTTGAAACCGAGACATTTTAGGGAAAACATAGCTATAATAGTCCTCCATCTTGAATTTGCTCCCGATGTCTCGTGATCGTGGTGCAAGTCACCAAATTAGTAAGGATCGTATGTATTCTGCGTAATGGATCGTATGTATTCCGTAAAATTCGTATGTTTCTAGTAATTGATCGTATGCATTCCGTAAACTTCGTATGTTTCTAGTAAGGATTTTATATATTCCGTAAACTTCGTATGTTTCCTAGTAAGGATCGTATGAATTTCGTAAAATTCTGATAAATTCTTTGGCACCCGTTTCCACTGGCACATGCCTTGAGCAGCGAGAATCTGTGTCAGACATGTCTGTAGTATACTCTTCAGTTTCTCAAGTTATTGGAAGGCTTTGTGAACTCTTTTATAGCTGCTAGCTATATAGATCAGTTTCTCCTGGGCTGGGGGTGCCTTCAGTACGGTCACGGATAGATGCCGCCTGATTGTGTGTGGTGGCTGCAGTACCTTTACCCGCCACTGGGCGGCGCTAAATTAAGACCGTGTCACGGCCAAGGTGCGCCATCGTAGGGGATGGTGGTTGGCAGTCTGTAGTTGAAATACCGTCTTGCGCCGCCAGTCGGCGCTTCAGTTAGCATCGTGTTACGTCGGGTCAAACGTCAGAGTTTCGCCAGGTGTGTTCACAGGTATGTTAGCTCCATGTCTCCATGTTGTTACGGACGGAATTTCTGCATTTAGCTGCCTTTCTGTGAAAGCAAGGAGGCTCAGGTATGTAGGTATGAATCGTTTTGTTCCCTTATATGTAGAAAATGGATAGTTGAAGGTTCTGCGATGCTGATATTTATATGAAACGTCGACGTAACTTTCACGTATTCATGAAGCAGACGGTATAATTTGTTTACATTTTGAAAATACTGTGTTTTTGTCGCTTTTACTTTCGAGGAGTAGCGGAACAATATAATTTTTCGGCCATACTGTAAAATCGTACAAAGCAGCTGCAAAATGAGCAAATATATGCCGCAAACTTTAAAAAGGAAAACGATACTTATGTCACAGAATGCCAAATTCCATTCCAAAGGAAAAGAAGAAATGTAAAGGAATGAAAATGAAGAGTCTATTATTCACCATGCAAATGAAATATTACATTGTGTGTTTAATCATTTGTTCAACCTTCGTGGCCACGTAGATTTCAGAATGAAGGCAACTTTTTTTATTCGCACGATCGCATCAGTTTTGGGGTTCCCAGTTGATGTCATCCATATAATCAAATCTACATGGCCTAACTTAATTATCTAATTGAGAAAATGCAAATTATGGTGATTCCGTATCAGGTGGTAAGACCACGCTGCTGCTCAGAGCAAGATGGCGAGTCACGGTGCTTGGACAGGGAAGAACTCGCTGGTTAAAATTCGTCTTTTAAGACGAGCTACGTCCGTTTGAGGAGGTGAGTCGCATTTAACATTAATAATAGCATGCATATTGTCCTCTATGTTCTCGTATTTGGGCCGAACTCGCTGCAATTCGTTGGGGTCGTGTGGCGCAACGGCAGAGCGTTCGGCTCAGAACCACGAGGTCCTGGGTTCGAACCCTGCCATGTTACCGATATTGTGCCCTTGGGAAATGCACTTTGCACGCCTTTCTTGCATGGAGACCTTCGCGAACCCCATCTCGTATTAAGGAAGAGAAACAAGGCAGCAGTATCTTCATCTAGGTGGCTGCCTCACAATGAAAGGAGAAAAAAGAAGAGATAGAATGAAGCTAAAAGTAAAACGCAGAATGGCGTAAGTTAGTTGCGCCGGTGACGATTCCCTGTGTTTAAACCTGCACTTAGTCAAAAGCTGCCGTTCGGGAACGCTATATTCAAGTCCGTTTTAAACTACCATGATGACTACATTAAATACGCTCGTTTCCTCCTCTGTTTTCTGAATTTTTTTACTGATTTATGTATGCATTATGTAAGCCATCTTTTCCCATAATGTTCTGTCAATATAAGATGTGCTTGAATGCTGTTGAACTGACGTTTGAAATAATGCGACATTCGGTGTGTTGCTGGTGACTGTTCTGAGGTATTTTATGTGAGATGTACTTGTGATTTTTCCATGGTCTTGATATTATATGTTATCCTAATAATATGTTGACTTTTGATTGAATGTTGACTGTAATTTTGCTCTGCTCTTTACCCACTCGGAATTTGCTCTTGCCCCCGACCCAAAGCAGGTTTTAAAACTCAAACAAATGATGTGAGTATTGCAATGCATGATGCTCTGTGAGTAATTGTTATACTAGTATTTGGCCTGTGATCTTTCTGAATGTGCATTTCTTTTACAACCTAGGCTTGAGATGCTGCTAATGTATAGCTGACATTGTGGGACCTGTCTCCTGTGTGTGCTGTGGGACCTGTCATCTATCCTGTGTACCTGTCCACACTCTAGAACTAATATTCCAGGTGGATCTACATTTTAAAATTTTTTCCAATTCTTGATTTACATACCAGCATTACAGACATACAATATAGAATTATAATGTTGCCTGAATGGCATTGGTATTGGCATTTAACATGATAAACCTTGTTAAGCAAGAAATGATACCTGATATTGTGGTAGCCTGGCCTAGCCGGTACCTAGTTTTCCATAAACCCTGTTGTTACTTTTTCTTAATCCTCAGAAAATGTATGTGACTTGATGAAATAAAGATCTTGTTGATATACAGGCTTCAATGTACTATATACTATATAAATGTAGTAAAATACATCATTCCCTCGCGTTTCCATGGGTGTACGGTTGTGTCAAACAAGCTGCAATACTTAATACATGCTGCTATACTTAATACATGGAATTGATGGTGAGTTCAGCACCAAGGACAACTCCACACTTAGACCGCACAACACAGTATCTATGGGCGAACACAAAGTAGTGCTGCACAATACTAGAGAAAGGTGCAGAGATTGTTCTGTGCATGGCATCGAGATGGAACCTGTGGTAAATGTTAGAGGAATACGTCGTTTTTGAGACTGTAAAAGTTAAGTATGGTGCGTGTTCAGTCGGCGTAGGTTTGCGCATGGATACTTGTCCCGCCGCTGTGCGTCGGCTGCAGCTCCATGACCTTTGCAGTGGAGACTGGGAACGAAAATGGCGACTGCCATGGAAAAAGACGAGTTCTTGCGAGGTAAGGCAACAAATTAGCTCCTTGAATGTACATGTTTGTACTTCCAACAAACCTGTAGCAACAGACCACGTTATAATTCGTTTGTAGAAGTTTGCGTTTTAATTTGTAAGGGTCGGACTACAAACCCCTCGGGCTCAACTCCCCCGTAGCGGTAATTTAGATAGGCGGGCGAAGGGCTCTTGGCTGCCGAAGGAAAACGGCTAACGGCCCGATACTAGTTTGGCATCCAATGTATGAATATACATGTTTGTACTTCCAACAAACCTGTAGCAACAGACCACGTTA